TGTGTGTGTGTGTGTGTGTGTGTGTGTGTGTGTGTGTGTGTGTGTGTATGTGTGTGTGTGTTATGTGTGTGTGTGTGTTGGGGGGGGTGCTGTACTTTAAGACTGTTAGATTTCTGGATGGGCTGACAATACTAGTCTGTAGAGTCCTCGAAACACGCATAATGCTAAGAAAATATAATGCTGTATTTGTTTGTGTTTTATAAATTGGGATTTAATTTCCTACTTAAATATAAAGTAAAACAACTCAGGGTGCTTCACAGAAGCTTCTCACAGCCGCTTGCATTTTTCTCTCTTTTCTCAGTGCAAACCCGCTGCAGCTGTAGGCACTGAAACTTTTTTTTATACTATTTTCTTGTGCAGGTTTTATTTGTATTACACGTATTTCTCATAGATGAATATGAATATGAATAGTTCCTAAAACAAAATGTTCAACCTGTTTCTTTTGTGCCTGTAAATCACTATCTTAGCAACCACTATTGGGACCCAGATTTTCAGGGACTGGAGTTCTCAGGATATGAAAATAGGAGAAAAAAAATTATATCAAAGGCAGTAATAACTGTAGAGCAACAGGAGTAAAGTAGGTGATTATACATTGAGAAGACCTAAGAATAAAAATTGCATGAATTAGAAATACAAAATCATGTCAAAAGGCCAGTGTCTGATTCTCAGATTTGAGCAAGGGTTAGAGTTTTAGGGTTCATTTTTGGGGAATGGGGAAGAAGTATCTAGTAAACAAATTCAATCTGAGGCCCTAAAATTAGGTTGCTGAACATTACCTTGAATAACCATACTTTGGGTGAATGTGAGTATGACTTGTGGGGGTCTTTATGTGTCTGTATACAATTAAGTTGCTCTCCTTGCTAGAAGCCAAGCTCATAGCAGAAATGAAACACAACTGTGTGTCTCGTCCTTAATAATTGATGAGTATTTAAAGCGAATTCACCCCAGGAACCCAAATCACACACATGATATACACTGTAGATATGATTAAATGTGTTTCCATATAGTTGTTTATATTTGATTTAGCACTCACACAAAAGTTCAGTATAAATGGGTCCCTGAATTTATGCAAACCTATGAAACAGACAGATCCTTTTCTGAAAGCAAGGTGTGGGTAGGATTTGGAACCCACTCCCTGCTGGTTTTGTGATTTGTTCCTAAGCTCATTAGATGCTCTGTAGTTCCTCCAGGGGATGAATCTCATCTGCAGACAATGTTAAACTCATTCTCTAGAGCAGAGGTGAAAAAGCTATTTCCCCCGGAGTTTTCAAAGGCAAACATTTCCTGCAGGAAATCAAACAGTTCTAGGTCTTGACAAGGTAGCTAAGAATATTCAGTGCAGTAAGTAGCTGCCAGTGAAAGCCACTGTATACCTCCACACACAGCCTCTGGTCCCTCCTGGGGATGACAAAGCCATTAGTTTTCAAAGGAACGAAAACATCTTGGCAAAACATCTTGCAGCAAATGCTGGTATTGTCCAAACAAGAATGGACAACCTCGGGTGATGGGGATTGGGCTCCCTAGGTAACTTAAAGATTAGCACATAAATATGTATATTTATCCCTATTCCAAAAGTAACACACATGGCTAAAGAAAAAGAGCTTAATTTCTGATTTTTAGCTGCTTGTATTTTTATGGACTGTTTTTCTCGTGTAAGCATTATCTGAAAACTGGCATCCATCAGGCAAATTGATGTCATTCATACACATTTTAAACATGTAAGCACAGCCCTCAACACTTTGGGCACCAGTCCCAGCAAAGAGGTCCAGTACTAGTCAGTAAGCACATCACACACTATGCTGTGAGCAGGGAGGACGGCAGGAAGGTGCGCAGCGACAATTTCCTGGAGGATTTTTCTCCCTGTCTGAATCTCAAAAATATTCTTGCTGAGGATGTAGCAACTATGCTTTGAGCTAGATGCTGAGAGAACATCAACCAGTTAGAAAGCAGTAGATTTTCTCAGTCCAGGGAACAAAAGCGAAAGCTCTTAAACTACAGTGCAAATGATTGTCTAGCAGCTGAGAAAGAAGGAGGAAGTCTGGCCTGAGAGGATGCTGTGTGTAGATAGGCCAGGCCAGGTGATGGCCATTCTTTCCTCCTGCTTTTGAGCTGCCACCCACAGAACACAAAGTAAACAACTGTGAAGTGAAGTGAAGAATCATAATCTCATTTTCACCAAAAAACCCCCTGTTTTATCAAAAGTGTTTTTTTTTACTTTATTATTATTATTTTTTTTACCATTCCACATTTTTTTCTTTTATCTAACCCTAGTCCCATTTATTCTTAGAGCTATGATTATTTACAGGGTTAGAGTAGAGACAGAGCAGACATTTGACACCTTACACACTCCTAGCCTATGACAATTAAAATGCTTTTTCCAAAAAAATGACACAGAAGTGAGGACAGATCACATGTGATGAAAGTACTGTTTCAGGACATGTGATTTTCAGAAAACCAAAATAGGTTTTCTTTGCAAGAAGCATTTCTTAAATGATATTTCCACTTCTAGCTTGGATTTCTATCCTGTGCGCACTTTCCTCTCCCTCTGAAAATCCTTGGATTTCTGTAGATTTTAAGCTTCCCATTGATGGGAGATCATTAGAATTTTAGGTAGGTGACTCAGTAGTTAAGAGCACTCGCCCTATTACAGAAGAGCTGAGTTTAGTTCCCAGCACTTGAGTCAGGTGACTCACAATGTTATATAACTTCACCTTCAATAGAATCTGATGCTTCTGACTTCCTTGAGCACCTGGACTCATGTTCACATACCCACACAGGCACACACACCTAACTGAAAATAAAACAAAACTTTAAGATTTAAAAAGGAATTCACGAGGTGTTGGTATAATGTTCATGTGGAGTGTATGCAACTCACCTTTGTTCATTCACATCCTGATTTCTCTACCCCATTACCTGGTTTCAATCCAGATATAACTGACCATGAATGCTATCCAGATTGCCATTTCCTGACTTTTTTTTTTTTTCTTTCATACTGGATCCCACCTATCTAGAACATTGGCATATCTTTCCACATTTCCTCAATCCAGAATAGGCATGGCCCATAAAAATAGATATTCATGACAGAGAAGGATTTGGAGACTGGAGAGATTTCTCATTATGTAGATGTGTCTGGCACCAACATCTGGCAACGGAAGTTCAGTTTCCACAGCATTCAAACATCAGACAGAAAAACTTCCTCTGCAAAGTCATGCTCTGACTTCCACATGCATTGTCTGGCATGCGCAAGTCTACTCCTCCTGACACGCACACAGACACACACACACTAAAATTATAGCAAACTAAAAGTGAAATTATGAAGATCGATGTCAAGGATCATGTTTCTCAAAGATTCACAATGCAATTGCTACCATGCCAGAAACTATGGCTTTTCACAACCAATGAGAGCTTATGTAGGAATGGTTGCTTTTATTTGGGGGGTTGGAGGTGGAGAAAGGATGAATAAGTGGTAAATTAATTCCTTCTTAGAATGAGTGACAGTTTGATTTTTGGCTCTACTTTATTAATTCTAATTAACTAATTAACACTTAATGATTAACTGACCCTGCAACTGTTTTGCTTAATCTTTATCTAGAAATTAAGTATGATAAAAGTACCATGTCACTAACAGTGAGTAACCTGTATGTAGAAAGGACTCTGCACACACACAGCCTAGTGTTTCATCAGCTTCCTTTATTACTCTAACCTTTGGTTAGAGTAATAATATAAGACATTGACAAAGGTATGTATGTATGTATGTATATATATATATATATACATATATATATATATATATATATATATATATATTTCTAATATTATCTGACACAGATGGCCTTCAGTACAAATCCTTTTGGGTAAAGGACAAAATAAATGAGTTTCCGAGCAACATAAAAACCACAGTATTTTCTGATTTTACAGTACTGAACATAGGGACTCCTCCTTATAGTTAGTCAACAAGATGTATGATGTATAACTGAGCTTGAACTTCATAAT